ATAGCTCACGCCTTGAACCCATATGTTCCTCTTGCGTTTGGCTGGGAGCAGTCACCTGGAGGTCATTCCGGCAGGTGGCTTCCAAAGTCCAACCTGCTAGGTTGAAACCTGACACTGACAGAGACTCCCTGGGGGCTGTTACTGAAAGCTGAACCAGAAACCAGGAAATGCACAAGCCACTTTATGTAGAAAAACAGCTAGACTCCGTGGGAGGAGACACAGCACCATGGGAAACTGGTTTGGCTGTGGGGGAAGCTGGTGAGTAGGGGGGAAAGGGCAGAGGGTGGACGTCGAGGCTCTGAGAATAAGAGGGAGCCGGGGATAGATTCCTGCCAACCTCCCACGCCGCCTTCCTCTGCCTGGCACCTCCAGGTGCCGGCACCAGAGCAGCCCTTCTCTCTGGGTTCACTCCTTTCAGGTGGCCTCATAAAACGCAGCCACACCAGCTGTCTGTAGAATGCCGGAGCAGGGCTAGAATGGTAAATTGGCCTTGTTTCTCTCTCCTCTTCCTCTCCTTTCCCTTCTCCCTAGGTGATGATAATAACTGTAGCAGTGGAGAACTGTGCACCATGGCGCTTGACAAATGATCCCCTTTAATTCCCCAACAATTCTGAGGGAGGTGGTCTTACTCCTCCTGTTTTAGAGCCGAAAAGCTGGGGCTCAGAGAAGTTCACTTGTCTGAGGTCACAGGGATTGTTAGCAGGGAAGCCAAGAACGCCAACCAGGCTTGTTTGACTTCAGAGGCTGTACATTTGGCCATGACATAGTACTGCCTCCCAAATCAAGTGAATCAACTTGGCAGAAATGTTTATTTAAAAGGGCAGAGTGGGGAGGGGGAGGATGTCTATGGAATATTTGAATATAACTTTCACCCTTATTTGTTGCATGACTGTCTTGCCAGTAGATTTCAGCCCCAGGCAAGTGCACTATGGATTTAATGTGACCAAAGAAATGACAGTAGAATGTTCTTGGGGTGAAAGGGTTATACCCAACTTTATTTCCACAGTGGCAGATCAATCACTAAAATCCCACCCGTTCAGAGTAAGTTGGCCTGCAGCAAGCTGGTCTCTGCCTTTGGGCCCCTCTGCCCACACAGCCGTCCTCTGGGCCCCTCTGCACAGCCATCTGCACAGCTGTCCTCTGGGCCTCTGTCCTCAGCGCTGCCATCACTCCAGCCTCTGCTCTGCTCTCCTGCAGCCTTGTAGCCCTGCCACTGCGTTACCCAGAGCACTGGGTAGAGCTCTTTATATAGAGTCAACAGCCATGTATTGCCCACACGTGTGTAGTGAGCTAGTCTCCCAGGGCGAGGTGAGAATCCTGGCCACAGGAACTCTCATTTTATCCACAATGACCTTTGGCAAATCCTGTAACTTCTCTTCTTTGCATATAAAACCCATGTCGTTTAGGTCACAGGTTTGAACAGCAGAAGATACGTGGAACCGATTCTGATACCTAGAAAGTATACTACTACACTGTTTATCACAATAAATTGTTTGTAGTGTCTTCATTGTTCTTTCCCACAGTTGTCATCACTATAAGCCTCTGAGACTGGTTTTATTCTGTCCACTGCCTTCTGAGCTATACTTTCCACACCTGATCAGTTTTGATGATGTCTTATTTATGAATAAAACAGCATTATATTTAGAGATAGGTGAGGGATATTGAGAAGCACATTGATTCAGAGCAGTACATTGGATTCAAGTCCTGTTCCTACTACTCATTCATTAGACAAAATATTTTATTGAACATTTATATGTACCAGGCATAGTGACAGTGAGGCTGTCACTCACTGAATTCAGAACTCCCTATGCTTGTGGACATCAGAGGTTAAATATCTCTCACTTTCTCAGTTAATTAAAAGCAAAGACAGGGAAGGAGAGAGGGAGGTCACTTGTTAGGAAACGGCTTTAAGGGGCCCTGACTAGTTAGCTCTGGTTGTGCAGCTTCTGTGACTCCCAGAATGAGAACCCTGGGTGGACAGAGATCCTGAAAGCAAAGCTCCTGAAGAAGTAAGAGGGTCTCTGAATCCAAAACATCTTTGTTCGGCAGGTTTCCCTTACCCTCTGCTGGGATCAGCCTGATAGGCCATCCCAGAATAGCCCTCAACCCAGCTAGGATCCCTGGCATGGAGTGCCTGGTTGCCTGAGGCTGTATTTTGGGTTTGGTCATGTCAGTTGTGCCACGTCACCTTCCAGAACCATCTCTTTGGGAGACATGCGGTACCCTTAATAAATTCCCTGGGGCTGGCTCAGAGTGAGTCTTTGGTAGAGGGAAGTGGGGGAGGGTCATTCCAGAATGGTAAGGACACCACGGCAAAGACGCTGGAGAGGGGCAGAGGCGGGCCAGGGCTCTTACACCTGGATGATCTGTCTCCCTCACAGGGGCGGCCCATCAGCTTTCCAGAGGAAAAAGAAAACAGGTAACGGGTGTTGGGGCTGGAGGAGCTGGGGAGGCAAATGAGAGAAGGAAACAGCACATGTCTTGGGAAAGGGAAGAAGGGTGGAAAAGAGGAGCAGCCTTGAAAGGGATAAAAGGAACTACACCAAAGGGAATCTCTAGGTTACCAGTTCAAGATCAGCTCTGAAACTCTGGGGCTCATCCTTTCCACTGTCTCAGCGTGGCTGGCCAGTGGTTCCTCATTCTTTCATTCGTTCAGCACAGATTTACTGAGCACTTACACTGTATGCAGGGCACTCTTCAGCGTCCCCGGAGGCAGAGGGGTACAAGAAAAAGGACACATTGTCTCAGCCCTAAAAGAGCTGAAAATCAAGTTTCAGAGAATAGTGCACATGAACAAGTAATTGTAACACTGTCTACTAGTGCTGTAATAGGTGCATGCTCATGCTGTGGGAGAATGGAAGATACAACGTGGAAGGGACAATCGCATGTTCACAAGGTGGAAGAGGAGCAGAGA